CCCCTTCGGCCGGCGAATCGCCAGCGCTTAGCGCGTTCTCAGCGAGAGGGAGCGCGCAGCCGGGGTTCGTGGCGCTTCCTTACCGGTTAGCCTGGGGGGGTCGAAGCCCGCACTCACCTCGTTTGGATCCGAGCTGTTGAGAGGGTGGGAAGCCTCGAAAATGCTTGTTTTTAAAACGGATGGTTTCTATTAGGTGTGCATGTAGGCTTTAGATTTTTAAAGTGAGCTCCTGTTTAACCAGGGCAGTTGCATTGTTGGATATAGAATCATAGAATTGCCAGGGTTGGAAGGGACCTGAAAGATCATCTAGTTCCAACCCCCCTGCCATAGGCGGGGGCCACTCCCACTAGAACCGGTTGCCCAGAAGTGGTTGCTCAGAGCTCCACCCAGCCTAGCCTTAAAAACGTGCAGGGATGGGGCCTCAACCACCTCCCTGGGCAACCTGTTCCAGTGTCTCACCACCCTCATGGTGAAGAACTTCTTCCTCATGTCTAATCTGTATCTACCTTCTACTTTTGCTCCATTCCCCCTAGTCCTATCGCTATCCAACATCCTAAAAAGTCCCTCCCCAGCTTTCCTGTAGGCCCCCCTAAGATACTGGAAGGCCACAATAAGGTCCCCTCGGAGCCTTCTCTTCTCCAGACTGAACAGCTCCAACTCTCTCAGTCTGTCTTCATAGGGGAGCTGCTCCAGCCCTCGGATCATCCTTGTGGCCCTTCTCTGGACATGTTCCAGCGCTTCCATATCTGTCTTGTAATGGGGGCTCCAGAATTGGTGGCAGTACTTGCTTCCCATGAGAACTCTCTTATTGTGTGAATAGCATTTCCCTTTCACGCATGTGTATGTCAATATTATGGATGTATTCGTAAGTTCAAAAGGACATCCCCTTCTGCCCTGGAGTGCTTCCAATTCAGCTCACATATTGTTGTGTGAAAAACTTTTATAGCCTCCCAGAAAAGGGAGTTGTGTGTGTTTTAAAGGTTTCTGATTATAAACACAAGGCTTGTTTCTACATACTGTTAGTCTGATAGTATTGCTCCAAAAAAACTGACAAGCCTGTTCTGCCTGAAGAAAACTTCTGTAAAGATTAAACCTGAATTAAGTGCTCCTTTGTATCTCAATTTTATGATTTCACAAGCGTAAAGAAAATACTACTTGTGTGGAGTAGTATTTTAATGCCCACATGGTTTTAGATGTGTGCAGCAAGTAGAGCTGCATACCCAAGCTCTTCAGCTGAACTTTGCCAAGAAGAGCTTCGTATAGCGGGTGGTATTTCCACAGGCTTCTGCAAAGGAATTTCTTGTTTTGTTTTTTTCACTCATGTTACCTGACGGTTGGCTTTGGCGGTGTGAAGACGGGAAGCCCATGCTGCGCCAGGGCGACACAGGAGACTGGATTGGCACCTTCCTGGGTCACAAAGGCGCCGTGTGGGGCGCCACGCTCAACGCTGATGCCACCAAGGCCGCCACGGCCGCCGCCGATTTCACAGCGTAAGTGGTAACTCCCTGTGAAGTCTGGCCTTCAGCTTGTAGTCTGTAGTGCTCTTTGGTGACATACAGCTGTAGCAGTTTACCAATTCATTTGGTTTTCTTAAGTAATTGTTAGCTTATTGATGTCTAGCTAAATAAAACCTAGACTTTTAGGTTCTTGAAAGCAGCTACGGTTAATTCTATCGTAATGAGCAACTATGATTTCTGCTTGATGAATATACTTAATTCACCATACCAGTTTGCTGAAATAACATTTTTATGGGCCTCTGGTCACTGGCATAGTCGTTACAGCAGAGTTAAAAGAGTGATTTTGTTTTGCTTCTACCAGTTAGCCTGTTTTTATTACAAGAAAACTTGTGGAAATTCTAGTGCATTATTTCTTTGGTTTTTTTATTTTTTAGTTGCTTATTTGTGCTGTTTGCAGGACATATTAATATTTGGCAAATGGAATCCTGTTAAAGGGCCATCGCTATTAATAAAGTTGCAGAGAGGATCTGCCTTTGTCTTAAAGCTAAAATGCTAATTAGTCAGCATTGTCCTGAAGAAGAGGTTAAAGGAAAATGGTGGGATAGTACAGAAGAAGCTTTCTTAAAAACATATAAAGTATTCCTATTGACTGAGTTATCGCTTATAAGAATGTGGCATTTATGATAAAATGTTCTGTGTCAGGAAAGATTGCCCACAAACGAGTCTGACTGTCCAGATTCATTTGTCCTGGTGCTGCTAAAGTACAAATGTTTTCTCTTGCCATTTAGCAAAGTGTGGGATGCTGTGTCAGGCGATGAACTGCTCACTTTGGCTCACAAACACATTGTCAAAAGTGTGGATTTTACACAGGTATGGAAAACCTTTATGTGTTATTCCACAGGGAAGTAAGGTCTTGAGTGTATTTTGCTGTTAGCTACTTTTCTACTTCCTACCTGTGTATCTTAACAGGCAAATAATGTAGTTTTAGTGAGTGTGTTAGAGGTTGTCAGAGAGAACTGTTATTTAAGACTCATGGATGAAGGCTGGTATTTTGATTCAAAATAGAGTTGACCCTCTGTAACTTCTGTTTCAGGATAGCAATTATCTGTTAACAGGTGGACAAGATAAACTGTTACGTATCTATGACTTGAGCAAGCCAGAAGCAGGTGAGTCTGCCTTTAAGGCTCTGAAATTCAGAGCTACTTTCTGTTATTAATTACAAAAGACAAGAGTTGAGGGTTGTTTTACAAACATATTATATATAATATTTTGCTATAGTAAGATAATCTGTAAGTTTTAAGTTTAGGCTTTTACAATTGAGCTAGAATTTTATCTGTAATAGACTTCAGGGATAGCGTGTTTCAGTTCAGTGCAGACTCATTAGAAATGGGTCTAACTAATTAAAATTGTCATCTGAAAGAAAAAAGTTTCCCCATATTTAATTGTTTAAATTCATGTTAATACTGAACTAGAAGTCTGATATGAAGCTAGAGAACCCTGATGTTAAACTAGTGAAGCTTTTTAAATTTAGGCAATTAGATATCTAGTTTACATTCATTCTGCTCCTGGAATAAGATCTACAAATAAAGTCATAAGCGCTTTGAGCAATTTTACAGTTTCTAGTAAATGGAAATTCATATAGCTTAAGAATGCTCCCAAACTGCTGCATGACGTGATTTCATTTTCTTACATGTATTAAAGTTCTTTGCTTTATTTTAAGAACCTGATGTTGTCAGTGGACATACTTCTGGCATTAAGAAGGCCTTATGGAGCAGTGATGACAAACAGATTCTTTCAGCTGATGATAAAACTGTCCGGTAAGAACAACTGAAATTCAGTTTTCTAAGCAGCTCACTTTTTTATTGTCATCTGTGTGAGAGATATTGGTAAAGGGTGGTATTGGTGATGTTTTTTGGTATAAGGAACAGGGGTTATTTGATTACTATAACAGTATGCCTAATACAGTTTTCCTCTTCTGTTAGAGACATAACTTTTGTAATCATTCTAATTTATCCCATAAATGTGTACTCCCTGCTAAGAAGAGGGGTTCTCTGAGAGCCGCACAGTAGAATAAGTTCATTCCTTTCATAGTCCTGGTGAAGATGAGTTTATAGATGATGTCTTGTGCATACACATTGTGCTGGGGTATTGCTGCCTTGTCGTCTGTGCTGTCCAGCCTTGAAAGATCCACAAGGCACAGCCAGCCAGGTGCTCGGATCAAAAACTGGGAAGAGTCAGGAAGCAGTGCACTGTTGATGGACATAGCCCTCTTTCTCTGCCATGTTGGTATGTTGAGTAGGCTTGAGTGTTTTTATAAGATGGTCCATCTAGCCATGGTTCATTTGTTTATTGCCAATTGGTAGGAGATGTGCTGGAGCCTAGACCAACCTGGCTGTTGGGGAGATGACCCCCAGTAAAGACTCTTCCTCAAACCGTGCTGTCCAGAAAACATGTAGAAAAGATGGAAGATGTGCCTAACTGCTTCCTCAGCTTTCTGGCTGAAATGACTAGTGTCCTCTCATGCCTAGCTGCCTCACCATTCTTCCATTTACGGCACAAAGGAGAGAGAAATAGAGTGATCTTTTCTGCTCTGTGGAAGGAAGGACTGGAGCATGGAGTCACTGGTGCACCTTCCCTGTACTCTCCTTTTCAGCTCCTGGCCTTTTCAGTTTCCTAGAGTTCAAGATAAGAGCCTAGTCTTGTTTATTGTTCTCTGTGTTGTAGAAAGTGTGGCAGTCAGCTAGTGAACAAAGAATCTTCCCCATCATTGCAGAACCATTTAATTTCTTTTCTGTTTATATAGCTCTTGCACCCCTAGATAGAAAACTGTATTACCTTAAATTAATCTCTGGTCTTTGTGTAAATTGGTATTAGTACCTCTTTGCTTTGTAAGGTGAAAAGGCAGAATGAAACCTTTAAGCCTTGCTCCTAGAAAGCTCTGTTGCTCAGGAGACTTCTAACAAGATTTTTCATCTCAAAGAGAATCTTTGAGTAGTTAAATGCTGTGTGTACCATTTACTGTTACTAAGCTTTAAAAGTAGCAGTATTTTAAAGTAAGCATGTGTTAAAACTTCACCTGGGTGAGCATGACCATAAGGATGCCACTGAAACCCAAAGTACCTGTGGAATCAAACCGTGTTCTTTGTTAGGTGATTTCTTTGATCCAAATTTTGCCATAAATAGGAGGTGAAAATGATTTCATTTGCTGAAGTAATCAGTCTTTTTTTTGTTTGTTCTCCTCTTTTTGTTTCCTCTTAAGCCTCTGGGACCGCAGTACCATGACTGAAGTAAAGGCACTAAATGTTGCAATGTCAGTGAGCAGCATGGAGTATGTTCCAGAAGGGCAGATACTTGTGATAACCTACGGGAAGACTATTGCTTTTCATAGTGCAGAAACGTGAGTCCAAAACAGTTTTCACGGGTTGAGTAATGGGCTGAGCTGTGGGTAAAAAACTGACTGTACAAGGCCAAAATCACCAAGTTGTCCTAAATGGCATTAGTGGACATCTTTGCTTGCCAGCTTGGGAGAGGCAGAATGTGAAACAACACTCTTCTGAAATAGTGAACTCTGCCTATAAGATGCTAGACTGTAAAGGTTTGATGCCATTTTTATTTCATGCTAATTGTAACTGTGGTTAATTAAGTTTCAGCCAAGGTTCAGTTCTGTGCTTTTCAGAAAATGGATTATTGATACATCTCTCTGGTGCCTTGAGAAGGCAAGTTACACACTTAGTGATACTCCAGAAAGTAGTTCTGAATGTGGGAGATTTTGCTTACTATGAACTAATTTCTAACTTGATGAGCATGATTTGCAAGTATTAAAACTTGTTTCAGAAACTGTGTGGGTGTACTGTTATTTTTCTTAAAAGCAGTTTTGATTAGTAGAATCATTTTCTTTGCTCTCAGGATCTTTTTGGGGGTTTTGTTGCCTGTTGGTTTGGTTTTGTGATTTTTTTTTTTTTTTTTTTAATGGTTAAAAAATTTTTTCCCCAGTCTAGAGCAGATTAAATCGTT